GAAAGTTTTCTCTGTCGCGAGTGTTCAAACTTGACTTCGTTTCGGTTCAAATTTCTTCGATGGACTGATCGTAATCTTCTCCAATCGTACGAAAAGAAACGAAAACACGAGCGTGTGTTAAGAGAATTATTCCTAACTGCAGGGTGCAATAGTCCGAGGATGAAGACACGCGAAGTTTCGCATCGTTCTCGAGAGACGGCACGTGAGAAATCGCGGCCTCTGCGGGGCTCGTGTCCTCGCGGGCATCTCCCGAGGGCGCGCCGAAAAGGAAAAAAAAAAAAACTTGCAAACCAAAGAAGCTGAACTGCAAAGAAAGAAAGAAAAGAAAACGGGAGAGAAAGGAAGAAGGAAACGCAGGGAGAGGATATCCACACGCGGTGTAGAGAGACTGGGGATGCAACGAGTGTGCGAACGCGCGGCAAGTGGTCCGAGCAGCGCGGCGCGAGTAGTTCGCGTATTATAAAAGATTTCCGACTCTTTGTGGCTGGCTGGGTACGGATCCGTTTAGGAGCGGAGGGCGAAAAAGCGAGGCTCCGGCCGCGCTTAGAATACCGCGGCAACTCGCATTGTATAATAATGTATCGCATATGGCGCATCTTGTAAAACTCTGCGGGCGTCCCCCTCCCCGTTCTGCGCCTTGTGCAACCAGGCCTGGACCAGCGTTGGAAGAACGGATAGAAGCTGGTGAATGAGGTTATTCCCGGCCGTGGTGCTGCTGGTTCATTCATCCATCGGTGGGCCAGCCCTCGTGGGGAGGCTGAAGACAGCCTCGGCCAACAGGAAGGAATTGTCGAAAACGGGTCTATCCCACTGCTCTCTCCCCTACACGAAATTTTTCTCCTCGCTGTGTGAATACCTTGTGGGCTTCTGACGCTTTCCGGCGAGGTGTTTGGGCCTGCGGAGGATCTACGGGGAGCGGTTGATGGGTTAATGAAGTGGAAAGTTTGGGACTATTTGGGTGGTTTCAAGAAGCGAGACAGAGGCATTTAAATCACTTGATTGTAAATCACACTCTCACAGTTTCCACAGAACAATCAAAACTTGAATGTCGCGAGACACTGTTACAGTCTTCTGTAATAATGAAAGAATAAACAAAATTTACTGCACTTTGTTTGGTGCTACTGCAAATGTAAATTTAGCAAGAGTTTACTATACAACGTGAACAATGCTTTTAACCTCTTGCGCTGGAATGAGAACTTGCACGTTTGAGAATTTCTTGTTCCAAAATTGTAATATTTTCTCAGTTTTAAGTATATTTGAGTAAAACAAAATAGGCAAAACGAATAATCATACCGACGAGTTCAAAAAGAAAGCGACGAATTATTTTATACGGTTTGGTCACTCGTTGTGGTCCGCAATCAGTTGCCAAGGCAAATAGTTAATCATTGAATTACTGTTAGAAATAATTTTACTGAATACTGTAACTGATACACTTGAATTATTAACCACATACTATTGAATTATTAACCATTCAGAAAAAATTATTAACTGTAAAACAAACATATATATAAATAGCTATATACAACCATCGTGATTGATTTCTTAGATTGGTTCAGTCACGTTTCACTGCAGCGTTGACTTCCAAATATTTTGCATGACGCACACGTGACACGTTCAAATATTTTCGTGGGCCACTCCACATCAAATCAATCCACCCTTGAAAACCACCGCGCTCCAAGCCAAAAATTAATCCTCTTCCTCGATTTCACATTCAACCGAACAAGCTCCTCCAATCGAGTTAGAAAAATATTTCCGATGCTGGAACTAGTCAGACGAGTAGACTCGTTTCAGAAAAGTTCCATTCAGGCGTCCACGGGAGTTAGCGTCAAGCCGTGTCAACACCTCTTCACAGAGACACGAGCTGAACGAGCCAACGAGCCAAAGTAGCTAGTCATTCGGCACCCTGTCTCCAACGATGGCTGCCAAAGGTTTTCGACGAACAGCGTTGGCACGGTAGAAAACAGTCTTGGAGAGGAGAAGAAAAGTATTCAACCTGGTCCCCGGTAAAACCTAAACCTAATCTAATGGATTAGCTACGGCGAGTCGACGGGTCGTCGAGGGTCTCTTGACTCGAGACACATTGTTATCGGTTGCTCTGATCCTATTGACAGCCCCCCCCCCCAATCCCGCAATAGACAGAGAAAATACAATGGCTGCGGTAGTCTGGTTTGCACCCAGCGGGACAACACCGCGTATTTTCGCCTAATCGGATCCGTTCGAGCGTATTGGGCAATCGGTTCTTGTTCTCTTTCGAATTTATACAACAGAGAGGCTCCGTCTTTCGTATTTCTCCAAGGATCGCTGAAGGTATTTGCCCGGGGAGGAGAGGAATCTTTTGAATCTTTTATCCTTCGTTGCTTCGCGTTATCGATTGTTTTGCCCTGGTAGCAAAAGATGCATTGAAACGGGAGACATGTCACAATGTTTATTTCGTAAACAATTACTAGCAAAATTATAGATTCCAGATGGAAAGAAGTGAACTTGGAATATCTTTTAATTCGCGATACGAATTTAAAAGAATTTAACTGATGGGAACTGGTTAAAAAAATCGTAAATGAAACATTGATCCTTGGTAGATGACACTAACAGTCAATTTCTCGCGGCTAGCTTCAATATAAATTCCTTTCTAAATTGTTCTAAAAATTGAACGTACAACGATTATTATTATTATCAGTAGCACGTAACGTATATCGAATTCAAAAGAAAATTCTTTGTCGTTAGAATGTTTGATAGAATAAAGACGCAGTTTACACAGATTTAATAAGCCGGATAGACTCGTTGTGTTAACGGAGGCACTAGACGAAAGAGTTGTATTTTAATCTTTTTTTCTGTTTTTTATTTTCATTTCATTGCGATACCGAACATGCAGTGGAATACGCGTCGAACGTATTCCCCTTTACCAGACTCCGGAACATCAAGCAGTCGAGTCGTTGTTTCATCGAGAAACAGCGAAACTCGTTACGCGGGGTCCGGGCTTGCTTTTCCGTTACGCGATATCTGATCGTTATTCCTCCATTTTCTCGTTTTCCAATTGCTGAGATCGTTGTTCCGCGGTGCGTGCACGATTTCGCGTGGCCACATCCTCCTTTTGTTTTCCCGCATTTCCTCATTCGCCGTCGATCTCTGAAAAATCATTATCTCGCCAGTCGCGTTGACATGATTTAAGGGGGGCCGAAAGGAAAACGGGGGAACGACCTCGTCGCTCAAGCAACTTTCAACGTTGCTTAAATTTATTCGAGATGTGCTTGATCTCAAAGTTCTTCGATGGAGAAGGATTTTCTCTTTATGTGCAAACGAAAGGTGAATTTTCCACGAGAAACAAGAGCTTGATTAATATATCTTTATTACCTTTTGCCATCTTTCGAGCAATTTTCAAAACTTGTTCAAAACAAGTTCTTATCTTTTTCAACAAAAAAAAAAAAAAAAGTTGCAAGAACGATTTGACATCCTCGTCAGTAGCGAAATTTAACAAATCAATTCCACTGCTGTAGTTTGAAGGCTTCTTCACCATACATATCAGATAATCTTTTTATAAGCTTGCACAACTAGCGCAACAAAATACCTCCCCTGATTTTTCATTTTGAGATCGACGCCAAATAAACGATCGCGCATTTTCTTTTTCCATAACAATCAGGTATCGGATCACAATAAATGAAGTTAGTCACACTTTAAAATATACATGCATATATATAGAAAAAAAAAAACGCAATTACTCTTCTGCCAACCCAATAACATAATTTCACTCGTACAATTCGTTACAGGCTGTAGCTTGATAATAAAAAAAGTTGATTCTCAGATGTTCTCTCTGAATCTCTTCAGGTTGTGCGTTCAATCGTACGTACATCTAAAACAACCGTGAATTTTTCTCGCATATACATATACATATATATATAGACGGTGCAGAAAGCGAGACTGGATCCGACGCGGCATCAGGGTTATAAGATCGGGCACATCTCTATCTAGGTTCTTTGGTACGGCTGCGAGGGGACGTAATATATTTGGGAGGAGGTGGAGAGTGAGATAGGTGGTTAGGTAGGTAGCCGCGGTGGATGTCGGGTAGATAGTCGACCGGCTTCGGTAATGGAGACTGCAGGGTGCCGCTAATGCAGTAGCGATGTCACGGTGCCGGTTGCATCGGTATATTCCTTCCCTTTCCGCCCTTTTGCTCCACCGCGTGGACGGTTCATGGTACCGCCTGTTCCTTTTCCCTACCTTCGCGATATCACCGAGTTTCTACGTGTCCTCTCTGTGCCGTCTCTGTCCCACTTCGATCCGCCGAGTGTGTGCGTCCGTGGCCACGGACACTTCTCTGGCGGTGGCTGTTTATCACCTCGGCCGCTTGCCTTCTTTTCTTTCCCTCCTTTCCTTCCTCTCCTTCACTCTTTTTTCTCCTCTGTCGATTTAACGGAACCCTATCCGAGGGACACGCTGGGATATCTCGGACGATGGGAAACATTCTCCGCGTTGCGGACGTGTGCGTTCGTATCGTTTAAAGTGAACGGAAAAATGGGCGCCGCCTGCATCCCGCGGTTACGATAATCTCTCGGTTATTTTTGTTATGGCCGGCGCGATTCGATCGTGGCTTGCGTGTATCCCCGGTTGCTTCTCGTAACGCGGTTGCCAGTCGCGATTTCCATTCGAAGGAAAAAGGCAAATTGCAGTTGTACACGTTTCACATATATAATACTTTATATCCGACGCGACGTAACAAATCGCAACAGGAGATTGAAAAGAAACTCACGAGACAAGGGAGACTTTTCTCTTGCAGATTTTTCGACTAGACGACGTATGTTCCTGTTTCTCTATAGATTTTCAAACGTTTGATTCGAGAAATTGAAATGCCAGCCAAACTATCATCATTATTATTATGTATCGCATTAATATATAATTTTATATTATTATTTCTCTGATATATATATATATATATATATATATATATATATATATATATATATATATATATATAGAAATAAATGTCAATTCCACGTCTTTCTTTTCAGCATGTTTGGGAGCATGAAACGATGTGCCCGATGCCACGCAGCGATCCTGGCCTCGGAGCTGGTGATGCGAGCCAGGGATCTGGTGTTTCATGTCCGCTGTTTTTCGTGCGCCGCGTGCGCGGTTCCCTTAACCAAGGGCGATCACTTTGGCATGAGGGATGGCGCGGTGCTCTGCCGATTGCATTACGAAATGGGCGCGGAGTTGCACCCGTCGCAGAGTCCCCCGGTTCCGGTATATCCGCCTGGTCCTCACTATCCTGGCCAGCCATTCCCCTCCCCGGAATTCCTTCATCACCATCATCATCATCATCATCATCACACGTCGCACCCGCCTCACCCGCATCACTCGATGCACCCGCAGCATCCCCATAGCCACGTGAGCCCAGTGCCGCTTCAGCCATCCACGCCATCGGTACCTGACGCCGGATCACCACCTAAAGTACCGTACTTCAATGGCGCCGCCGTCGTGCCACCGCCTAGACAAAAGGGCAGGCCTAGGAAGAGGAAACCCAAGGATCTCGAAGCTATGACTGCTAACATAGGTGAGTTTCGTTACCTGCTTTCGGTCTGAGAAACTGAGGGAATTTGAAAACGTGGACACGTTAGACACGAATTTATGTCCGTCGGCGATGAATTTGAATCGGTGACATTTCGTTTCTGTTTCGTTGCGTTTTAATTTCATTTCGTTTCGACACTTTCGTTTTCATCGATGCTCCAAGTTTTTCTATATGTATCATAATTTCTCGAATCTTACTCTATTTGCGAATTGTCGGGACGCACGTGTCGTAAATGGAAACTATCTAAAATATATAGGTTGAAATCTCTTCAGAATTCGTGTGTTTCTACCCATACTCTAAGCTGAATATTTTAGAAAATTTCGAAGAAACTTCGAAGCGTACTTCGTGGCACATCATTTTGATTTGTGTATCGCACGGACTCTGCCGGGCGATTTTTGCGAGCATTCGAGCAGCTGGCTGAGTGATTCATCGCTTTCTCGGTTGCAACGTGTGCCAGATTTACAAGAAGCTTCGCGCGTTGTCCTTCGCGCGTTTGATGAATTCAAAAGTTTATTCTAGAGAAATTCGTCACGCGCGAATTAACATTCTGGCAGTAGACGGCCGCCAATGCCCGTTGGATACGTTTTAGCGATTCGATCGCGGATGAAGGTGAAACGTAGCCGATAGAACAGATGCAAATTGGAATAGAAACATGTTGTATCGAGCATTGCGCCGGAATGTATCGCGCAATAATCATGGTTGGCAATTAGAAATCACTCTAACGCGCAACTCCGCCAAATTGCTGCGTGTGTACGAGTTTTTTTGAACCGTGAAGTGGTCGAATGTTTGCTTAACAGAGGATTGCGCGTCGGCGTTATGCGAAAAAAAAAGAGGTGCAGTTGTTGAACTCTTGAATCTTTGGAAATTAATAGCACGAAAACAGCGTGTCAACGTTATAATTTCATCAGTGAGTCACTACCTTCGTTCCATTAAATTAATCTTGATGCAGAAGTTAGAAAATTTCTTTCACCGTTTATACGTTCACCGACGAACCACGTTTTCCCGTACAAATTAGATTCGATGAATTACACATCTCGAAAATCAACGAATAAATTCAGTCTCTTTGCTTCGAACAAGCAATGACTACCTGAAAAATCCTTTATTAACATTCTTGATCCATTCATTCACTTGTTGTGCGCGAAATACGTCGCCAACACAACGCGTGTCGCGCACAATACGAAAATTGAAATCACTTGATTTTCTTTGGACGAGATATCTTGCGTGTCTATTCATTAAGATTCGAGGCAAGATCTCGCAAATTCGTAAGAAACAAGAATGAACAATCTAACCTAGTTAATCGAACGAAACATATCGTTTTCACAAGCGAGCAATCTGATTTCCCTCCAAAAACGAACTTGTTCAAGTCGCTGTCCAATCCCCAACATTTTACTCCGCAAGTTTCACGTTCGGAAGGCACGTGTGTGCGCGCGAGGTTAGATCAGGCCGGTGGATTTTCAATTGTCGGTGTCGGCTCGGGAAGATCGCGATCGCGTGCACGAAAATTCTTACACGAGCAACGGCGGAACGGTTGACCGGTCCGGTCTCGAGATTGCTCGATGGTGTCCCGGCCACGCGGTCGGAGATCGCCGCGGCTACGCGCACGTAACACGACGAATCCACCGAGAGGGAAGGTGTCGCGACTCGCCGTCGGTGATTTACGGGCGCGCGTGGGCGCGTGGTGTTTGCCACCGAACCCTGATAAAATTTGTCGCCGCGACATAAATTCACGAATCCAATCCCAACAAAGCGTGTACGTGTCGCGCGTGGGCAGCTCGCCGCGGCAGCTTCCTTCTCCGCCTTCGAGGACTTAATTTCGATTGTTGACCGACCGTGGGAACAGAGGAGGGAACACCGAGGGACGAGTCGCCTCGGACGAACCACCGGCCGTGCGCCGGTTCTCTACCCAGAGGGACCAGTTCCTCTTCTTTTCTTTTCTTTCTCGCTCATTTTCTTCCTACCTCTTTCCCCTCGGTCCGTTTTCAGCGAAAAAGATTCTCGAAAGTCGCTTGGTTCGTGTCCCGCGAAACGATGACGCCCCGACACGAACGATAGGATCCACGGATGACTGAGAATTATCTGTTCTGTTCGCCGGCTGGTTAGCCCGGTGCGAGAATTTATCGTTCGAAATAAAATAATTTGATGGGAGGGAAGGGGGGATCTTCGTCGATTTGGGTCCTCGTCGCTGAGGTTAGGTCGTCGGATCTCTTTCAGCTTTTCCTTTTATCTCGAGGCGTGTTTCGCCTTTAAAAACTCGTCCGACGATGTTGTAAAATGAAGGACAAATGGTTTTTCAATTTCTTCGTTGCGTAGTTGATGAGATTTATAGCACTTCGTGATCCCAACCTACCAAGTTTCTAACAGGGAACTAAATTGGATCCCGTTTGAAACAGTCGTTGTGTTAATATGTCAGGCGATTTCCGGATTTGCTGGAAGGCAGGTAGCTATTTGGCTTTCTATGATTTATGACCGAGCCGAATCATCCTTTGGGGAACAAACAATTCTTGGGAAATCCCTTGGCAAATATTTAGGAAAATGTTACAAGAGAAAGAGGACGAACCTTTTGATAAGAGAACTCGACACTTACTCCAGACTATCTCCGAATCGAAAAGATCGCGAGTTTCATGGAATCTCCCTCTTTCTGACAAATAGAAATAAAACTCTGTTGTCCAACGATTCGATGAGTAGCTGGATCTCTTGCAACGTCGATACTCTCTCACGGTAATTCCGGTGGAATCCTTCGCGCGCGGTAATTAGAAATTCTCGCAGGATCTCCGTGAGAGCCGAGAGAGCGTTTGTCAAGTGATCGTGGAAGCGGCGGAAGATCGCCGAATCCAGTTCAGATGGAGAACGGTAGCAAATGAACGGCAGCAAAGGAACGGTCGTAGTGAAACGGATTTCGCAGATTTCCGCGCGATAGAGGATCGATCTGGATCTTATCGATCGGGCCATCTGGCCGGGCGACTGTCGGAGCGTCGCTTTATCCACCGGTGGACGGCGAAGTCGCCCTGCCGACAGGATAGATATACCGGAATGAGGCCTGCAAACTATTTGCTGCATAGAGTTGTAATTGGCCGTGTATCCACTGGTCTTTCGCATACGCTATCACCCTTCTTGTTTGCACTCGAGGAGCTAATGAGCTGTGATACACATCAAACAGCGCTAGGAGTCGCGACCAGCCGCGCTGCCGCTTCCGACGGTTCTTCGTATTGCCTTCGAGAGCCCCCGCGCCAATTGTTGCCGCGATAACTTTATCCCCGATCGAGAGCCGCGATCACTCTCTATCGAGCGGACGCTACTTTCCTTTACGACCTTTAATAACTTTTGATTTTTCGCGAGGTTTCTCTTGTATCGTCAGTTCCCTGAGTGATTGGTTAGAAAGTGGTTGAAATCCCTTTTGCGAATTTGAACTCTCTTTAAAGAGTTTTGTTTCTAATGCAACACCAAGTGTGCGATAGCGTTTAAACAAAAGTAAGAAGAAAGCAGGGAAATATTCTGATATAAAGGGAATATTTGAGAAATATTCGACAAATTTTTAAATAATCCAGTTGAGAGAAACTTTTTATTACCAAACGGATATGGAACACTGTTACTAGAGTATTAATTAATATTCGAAGAATGTTGCTACTAAAATTAAAATTAACGCCGTTAATAGAATATCTTACTTCTAAATAACCGTATACCGAAAGAAATAAATCCAAGTCCCTCGCTTGCGTTTGAAGGAAGAGAACAATAACCTGATAAACGATGGTAACGAAATTCGCGGCGTTATTGACGTCTTACCGGGGTATCGTCAATTTCCCGAGTGATTGGTCAGAAAGTGATTGAAATCCTTTTTTAAAGAGTTTTCTTTCTAATGTAACACCAAGTGTGCAATAGCGTTTAAACAAAAGTAAGAAAGCAGGGAAATATTCTGATATAAAGGGAATATTTGAGAAATATTCGACAAATTTTTAAATAATCCAGTTGAGAGAAACTTTTTATTACCAAACGGATAATAAAAATCCTTAGAATGAAACACTGTTACTAGAGTATTAATTAGTATTCGAAGAATGTTGCTACTAAAATTAAAATTAACGCCGTTAATAGAATATCTTACTTCTAAATAACCGTATATCGTCAATTTCCCGAGTGATTGGTTAGAAAGTGGTTGAAATCCTTTTTTAAAGAGTTTTCTTTCTAATGTAACACCAAGTGTGCAATAGCGTTTAAACAAAAGTAAGAAAGCAGGGAAATATTCTGATATAAAGGGAATATTTGAGAAATATTCGACAAATTTTTAAATAATCCAGTTGAGAGAAACTTTTTATTATCAAACGGATATGAAACACTGTTACTAGAGTATTAATTAGTATTTGAAGAATGTTGCTACTAAAATTAAAATTGACGCCGTTAATAGAATATCTTACTTCTAAATAACCGTATACCGAAAGAAATAAATCCAAGTCCCTCGTTTGCGTTTGAAGGAAGAGAACAATAACCTGATAAACGATGGTAACGAAATTCGCGGCGTTATTGACGTCTCACCGGGGTATCGGCGAGACGTTGGGAGGCGAGATAATAAATCCAGCGGCGGGTCCAACCCTTGGGCGCGCGCGAAGAGAGGCTCGGTTCACCGCCGCCGGAAAAAGATCCCCCTAACTGATATAGCCGATACGGGCGGCTTCAAAAATACCCCGCGACACCGGTGTTTAATTAAGACGCATAATCCGGATGTTGGGGATTTATGTTGCAGATTTGAACGCGGACTACATAGATATGCCCTTCGGCAGAGGAGGGCCGGCGACTCCCGGCATACCTGGATCCAACAGCAGAACAAAACGAATGCGAACGAGTTTCAAGCATCACCAGTTAAGGACTATGAAGAGTTACTTCGCGATCAATCACAATCCGGACGCAAAGGATCTCAAGCAACTTTCCCAGAAAACTGGCTTGCCAAAAAGGGTGTTGCAGGTAAGCTTTCAATCTGGCGATCTTCCCGCTCTCGCGTTACGTTTCTGATATGTACTCGAGTTTAATCGAGCGAAATCGAGTCTCGCGGATGTCCTTATTCTAATTTTCGGGTAAGGGACACACTTGTAGATTATACGATAGATTTCTTTGAAGTTCATTCGTAGTGACTGCTTCAGACTTCTTCCGGAATAATTAGTGTTTGATATTTTTGACAAAATTTTGACTGAACAAATTTTTCAAGACGCCAAGTGTTACGCGCGTATGTGTGTTTTGAATTTTTTAATTACAGATGTCCGATTAATTCTAGTTTATATCATTAAAATTTAAGAACCTTCGATTCTTTAAGAGGTGACAAACTCTTTGTACACACTACAACAAAACTATTATCAATAGAATAAAATTAATATTAAATAACATAAAAATACATCTAATAAAACATTAAATATAAATTGAATATAATTTAACATTATATAAAATATCAAATTAATATTAAATATAAATATATTAATATATATATATAATAACATATAATGATAATATATATATATATAATAACATATGTATTAATAACATATAATGAATATTAAAGGAATATATCAAAACTTTCACAAATAATTACACACACGAAACGCATCGTCTTCGATTAGATTCAATGCTCTGCATCGTTCGTGCAATTTGCATTGTACGTTTCGCCGCTAGCATTCGAAGGCGTGGAATCGTCTTGATGCGCAATTAAAAGGAAATTTACAGGGTCGGTTCGCGGGAGAAGTATTCGCGTCGGGTGTGCACCGGCCTCCTCCAATTAGTGCACGCCGTCAATGACGCATGACGCCCTTCATAGGCCAGCTAAAACTGTCCCCGAGACCTTTTCGGCTACGTCGTTTTGGACAGATTGTATCGTTGCGTTCCCTCCTCGTGTGTTGTTCGATCTCGGCCCGCGGTGTCTTTGGAATTTATGCGGCCGTGTTACGTTTATTTCGGCGGCATTCGAAAACGTGGAACACGCGGCGGTAGGTTAAAGATAGAAGAGATTGTTAGTACGCGAAAAAAAAGGAGAAGGGACCCCGGGAGGGAAAATCGTCGTGTCCTACCGTTTCCCTCAGATCCTACGTTTCGATCTGGCCGGGACGAGACGGCGATTCGTTTTTTCGGGTACCGTCTGAAAGATAAATAGGCCGATTGTGTTTTCAACGTCGACCACCCTTCTCTTCCACTTCGGCGAAGTAGCTTCCTTCGTCTCTTCGTCTCTTTGTTTCCGCCTCCGCGAGTCCATTAATCAAGAAAACGAGAATTTTTCATATTTCATTGGCGATTTCTCGAGTTCAGTTCAGTAGTCACTTTCTCTTTTTCAAATAACACTTTCCTTCATTGATATTTATCGACGGTGATTTGATTGGAATCACAGATGATCTGTAGTCACGAATGACTGGACTGGACAAAATATTTATCATATTAACCTCTTGCGTGTTGGAATGACGCGCCACGCCAATTTTTTTATCTCAAATTGCAATCTTCTCACTTTTAAGTATATTTAGATGTAACCCAGGCAAAACAAATGATAAGTTTACTACTTTTTAATCATTTCTATCCAATGATACACCGACGAGTTCAAGAGAAAAAGAAAAAAGCGACAAGTTATTGTATACGGTTCGGTCACTCGTTATGGTCCGCGAACCAGTTGCCAGCGCAACGGGTTAATACATGGCAGATGAAACAAATATTTCATTTCCAGATCCTATTTTCATAAATACCATAAAATTCCACAGTCTCCTAATAACAACGCTATACTTGTATTACGACAATAATTTTAGGCCATCTTTTGAAAAAAAAAAAAAAAACCAGAAAGAGTAGAAATCCAAGAGCTTTCACTTTCCTCGTCGTTATCATTTCCAACGAAAGGACGCAGTCCCAGAGAATCGAATTTGCTAAGAGCAAAAGCAGAGGAGAAGTGGTCGCGACGAGTAGACGTTGTTGCTTCGAGCAGATATCCATCGGTGTCTGGGCCTTTCCAGCTTGTGGAGAGGGTCGCGAGGAGGTTTCCAGAGGCGGGTGAAAAAAGGTGCAAAGAAAAATCGCGGTCGGAAGATGGATAGCCGGTGGTTCGATCGTTTTTCCTCTTTTTCTCTTTTCTCTTCTTCCTTCCTCTCTTTGTATTCTTTTTTTTTTTTTTTCCACTGTCTCTGACTCCGCGCAACCCCCTCCTGCTCCGTCTGCGCGTTCGCCAGGCCTCCTATAAAAATATTCACGTGGCGGACGAAGCGCGCGCGCTGGAGACGTACGCGCGCGCTTCTCCCCAATTAGTGCGCGCTGCCGGCGGCGCGTTGAGGTAAAAGAACCGCATGGGCCACGGTGATATTTCCGTCGACGAGCCTCTGCGGCCTTTTCCCCCGTAATTATGGCCCTCCGTCAATCCGCCGCTACTCAAAATCCTCCGGGGCCGGGGCAAGTTTTGTCGTAACGAGCGGCGCGCCCTGCCCTCGTTAACCCACTACCGTTAAATTACACGGGGCCAGGAATCTATTTCGTGAACCGGGGCCGGCGTAACGCGTGAACACGCACGCCTTCGACGCGTTAATACCGAATACCCTCGGCCAACCTTTCTCGCACGATCCAGCTACCGAATCGACGCGATCGTCGCGAACGAGCGTATTAGTACCGAGTCTGAATCGTCGTTATCGAGCGATTAGAGGGCCGACTGGGTTTCCGATCATTTCCAGCCGAACATGTGTGATTATCGACGAAATCGTTTCCGGTTATCTGGTGGTTGCTTCGTAGGTTTCTTCTTTTTCTTTCTTTCTTTTTTTTTTTTTTTTTTTTTTTTTCTATTTTTTCATGCAGAATTAATCGGATTCGTTTTCGTGATTGGTAGGCAGGATGGTTTATGGAGGTTGGCGTTGTTCTTGGAAGGGTCTGCAGGTGTGAGAGAAGTTCGGAATCTTAATAGAACTTTGTTCTTATTTCGCAGAGATGGTTCTCCTGCGAATCAATTAGCGATTCGACGAATGACAAAGGTTTTGCGTTGATGAATCGGTTCGTACGTCTGGTAAAATTTGAACCGTGAATCTTCGTTTGATCTCTCTCTGTTTTCTTCTTCAGGTTTTATCGTGCGAGATAATTTCTTGGCAGTGATATAAACTTGAAATTGCCGACGTGCAAAGTTTTTCTAGTAATATTCATTTATGCAAACGTATTTTGTGTCTGAATTTTATATTTGTACCCCGTGAAATCGAAAGATCAAAGTTTCCCTTCTCCAAAAATTTACGCTTGTTCAAGAAACTTTGCGCAACTTGTCAAATCTGTATGCAGTTCCTCTACATTCGTTACTCTTACCCCGTAATAGTTATCTTCAAAGCATTTTTTTTTTTTTTGTACTCGATGCTTTCACGAGAATGAGATCAAACGTGGACAACTCGTCGTGGCCCGACAAAGAGAACGGATGTTAAACAACTCTTTGCACATTCTTGAAAATCTACGCTCTTCAAGGGCAATCGAAGAAGCCAGTCGAAAATAATTCGAGCTACCTTCGCGAAATCTCCGTTGCAAACGATCGTTTTTTCGATTCTTCGCTCACTAAAGTTAACCCGTTTCTCTCTGGGCAGCACCTCGAAGATGCTCGCGCGGCAAATTCTGTGTGTACCACGTGAAGCACGCAGCCTCTTCACGTGGATGCAGCAGGCAGACAGAGAGGAACTGGCTCGGTGACTGGATGGCGCCGGCAGAAGATCTAGAGAAAGAGAAAAGAGCCTGGGGTTGTTGGCTGGGCCAGGGGAGGAGGCGCGAGAGCCGGCCTATTGTATTCGGTGCGGCGTAGGGTTCTTGGTCGCCATCTTGCTTGATATTGATCGCGAAACGCACGAATACTCGCTCGTTCGCCGCGGCTGCGTTCGTCGCCGTTCTCCTCTCGTCTCTCTACGTGCTACTTCGTTCTACGTGTACATATATACATGTATACATACGTGTGTACATGACGCGCACCTAACACACCGACATTTTCCCAACGCGCGTGCACACACACACGTGAATACATACAGAGAGACAGACACATTGGAAATACAGCTATAACGTAGGTGTAACGCAAACAGATCGCGAGAGAGAGTTTCACTCACCCGCAGGGAAAGAAACACTCGTACACGCTTCGACCACGAAGGGGAGGCCCGCGTGGTTGTGTCGGTTGGAAGTCTCTCTGCTGGTTTCACAGTCCGCGGGGGAGGAGACTATCTTGAAAATGGCGACGCCGGATCCGCGGCATCGAGGCCGTCTTTTATCTATCGGGAACAGAGGGTAGAGTGGCGAGAGGGAGAGGTTCCGGGCTGTGTCTCGCGGCATTATATATTGTTGCATTGTGTGCAACGATGTAGCTATCCTGACGGGCCGCTGAGCGTGTGGTTGCATTTAAATTGCACGCTCCTTTCTCTCCCTCTGTATACCCCGAGCGCCCCCGCCCTCCCTCTTCACCCGCCCGATGAAGATATATTGGAGGTGCGCGAGCTTTTCGGCTCTCCTTCGACTCTCTTTTCTCCGAGCTCAGGCCTCGGACTGTCCTCCTCTTCGTCTCCTTTCTTTCGCCCCGCGTTTCTTCTCCATCGTCAGGTGCAATGATGCGTGGTACACCAGCGGGAGAAATTCGGGAGAAATTCCTTTTAGGTCTGGCTCTTTCGAGGACGGTGAGTTTACGAGCTCGCCGTGAGTTCGTTCCTGAAGTCTGAGGGGAAGGAGATTAAGACTTCGGAGTTTGAAAGTTCCGGTAATGAGAAAATACGATTCAGCTGTTTAATAGGTAGATGGTGAAACCCAACGATGAATCAGTTTTGGTTTTGAGAGAAAGAGGTAGAAACAAGTGAAAAAAGAAATTTTATCAATTCGTAGTACATACTACTTAGAAATTACGATACATTTCTCTGAAATACGAAAAAAACCAAGCACAGAAATTTTAATGTCTGGTATCTAAAACGAATCATACTTGACTAAATCTTAAAAGAAAAGACGTATACATCACTTGGAAAATTGAAACGTACGCGAAAAAAATTCCCCCCTCCTCCCCAAAAAAAGAACTATCACCAAATTTCTCCTTCAAAACCAAAAGCTGATCCACCTAACTTAACACACCTAAAAGTGAGCACGCTACAAGCGCTCTCCATAATCTATCGTTTCATTGACTTTGCAACGAGGCTCGGAACGAAACACACTCGACTCTGTTCACGGACGAGCATCAACAACACTAGAAAATTACATTCAAAAACGTAGAAAAGTAGCAACACTCATCGGTAGTATCAGCTCGAAGCGGCGAAGGCTTCACGCGGATACACGGATACGGGAATATTCAACGATGTGGTCTCGGTGTGTTCGCAGGTCTGGTTCCAGAACGCCCGCGCAAAATGGCGGCGCATGGTGCTGAAGCAAGAGGGGAAGTCGGACAAGTGCGACAGCAGCGTGGACGGCGGTTCCCTTGGCGACCTTGAGCTTTATGGCAACAGCACCGGAAGCGGCGGCCCGCCAATGAGCCCTCCATTCATGTTGGGTGGACCGCACAGTCCGGCGTCCTTGGCGTCCTTGGACTGCGCGTGATCCCCGAAATTTCGCGTCCGGGACAGGCTAGCCGAACGATTCGCGAAACGATTCTCGTCGTTCATGTGGTCCGGAGTTCGCGGCTACGAAGCCACTTGCAGCGACGGGACGAGCCGATCGTTCCGTTCGATCGTGTGAATTTGCTACGATTTCCCTCGCCTTTGGAAAAGAATAAGAATAGTTGTAAATAATTTATTCGTCGAAGCAACTCGTTGCATCTCGACTCGATCGACTTGCTTCGGATCATTTTCTCCGCGACTGGGTGGATCCACCGATCGAGATACAAAACATACTGGCGTGGGACTCGATTAGAAACGAGAGAGACTTCTCAGAGACGTGTGCAACACGCCGCGCGTGTACGGAACATTTATTCACAGTTTCAATTATGAGTGAAAGGGTGAAACATAGGATTTTCTTAGCGAGGACGTTCTCCGAGCGACGTTCGATCAACGGGGAGAAAGTGGAGGCTGTATCATAATGAAGAATAAATTAATCGAAGGGTGTGGAAGGTTGTATTTATTGAGAGCGAGAGCTTGATTTTTAAGACACGGCCGCCTGACACGCGTACGGGGAACCGTGACGTGAAAATTTTACGTATTCACGAAGCGTGTACGCTTCGACGGAACCCAGTTCGAAAGCGTTTGTAATTAGTTCTCGATGTCTATTTATTAGCGACTTAAGGTAAGCCTAGTTAAGGGTTGCGAACTTACCAGTGCTGTGTGAAAATCCAACGTTTCCATGGGGATTGTGAAAGAAGGGATGAACTTTGTACTTGGTATTACGTGTTTAAATAAACGCGTTTCATCGAATATAAAGTTTGCCCCTTTGAGAGATACGATCCGCGTCTCGACCATCGATATCGATGGATTGTTGGGCTCGTAGATTGAAACGCGCGGAACGAAGAGTCACCGAAATTGTGAGTTAAAAAAGAAAACGTTGGATTTTAACGTTGAGTAAATACGAGTATATAAATATATAAAGATATATAAATATATTATTTATAAATAAATTCGGGTGCGTCGAGCGTGTCGATTAACGAGTGTGACTGTAATTATTGCTCAAATAAAGAACGCGGTGGAAAATGGAATAAACTGAAGGAGAATGGAGTGGCAGGAGGGGTGGGGGTGGGGATGTTAGAATGAATTGCGGCTCGCATCGTGCCCGATCGCGAATCCTTGGCGTAAACTTCACGGTAAATGTTGTAAATAAAGGACGTTCCTCGAGTTTCTTAAGGCACCGCTATAGGTTGTAGGGATTCTAATTGCATTCGGTAGCGGTTCTGTTAGACAAGGTAATAATGATGACGTCGGTTATTATTATTATCACTCTTATTATTAATATCCTTGTAACGAATGGAACGATTGTCTAATTTTACAAGATGATTTTTTCATTGAATATATTTTGACAATATACTCGCTGCCTCTGTCGACTTTTTCATTCAGAATCCTTTGCTACTGTCCCTTGTCCCTTACACTCTCTGTCCTCGACCTGTCGAATTATTAAAATTTTTAACAACTGAAAATATCCACCGATTCGTTCTCTGTAGACAAATTCAAGAAAATTTTTTCCTAGATTCTTAGAAAATTTAAAAAATGTATACAGATTCTTTAAATCAAATGTTCATTGAAAATTGAAATTTTACCCGGTGCGTAAATAATTCAATTGGTCCTGGCTTTGGAGCAATGTGCCTTCTTCCTGAAGGTAAGAAAATTAAAAGAGATCTAAATAACAAGTAAAGAAAGTATTAATTTCCAGCAAATGCAAAATTTGAAATTTTTCGTGCAAAAAAAAAAGTATTTCGCTCGAAAAATAATTAATTTCTTTCTAAAATCTTGCCATAAAAAAAAAAAAAAAAGAACCGAGCGTATTTAAAGAGTATCCGATTTCACGGAACGCTCGAATGAAATACACACGTATGTAAATATATAGAGAAGAAAGGGAAAAGGAAAAAACGCGGGAAAGGTAGGAAATACTCGCTGTCGAAGCAACGACACGAATGTTCATCGCGGATGAATCTGTTAGCGGGACGAGGGCGCGGTTTTACAAGGTTGGCAGCCGATTTAACGACCCTGTTACGCCTAACTAGAGGAGCAGTGCGCGCATCGCGACACATTAAAATTAAAATTACACGTTGCACGCCAATCTGGATTACGCAGGGGGCCGATTCCGCGCCAATTATGTTGCGACTCTCGAAAAGAAATCTCTCTCGTTAGATTTGCTCGCGAGCCGAGAATCGCCTCCTTTTGCCATTTTTTTTCTTTCTTTCTTTTTTTTTTTCTGTCACTTTTTTGACGTCACAGACTTTCTAACGGGGCTTAAAAATATCACCTGCGTTACTCGCTCGCGATACTGGAAGCTTTGAACGCGCCGCGCGTCATCGTTTTGCTTGTTCCAATTTAATAACGAAGCGTTAGGTGAAACGGAAATCGTTCGATGACGATTGACAAATTTACGAGATTCGTTGGTCCTTGAAACTGTCTCTGACATTTCACAAAGATTTCGAATAATATAAATCTGATAAAAAAGAATTGATTTCCTTTCAATTACTACGAGCACGAGATAATAAACGGATGCATCGGCAAACTTCATTCATCAATTTTCATTAAGGCCTGGATCATGATTATACCTGCATAATTATCTCATCGCACTCGTTTAATTATGATAATTTATGTGCACATATTACGGTTTAAATTAATATTATAATAATTATCACAATATTACAGTTACTATTATTTATATTAATGATCATTTATACGAAAGACTAGTAATTCTGGTATATAGTAACAGCGTCGATTTTTACAGCTCTTCATGGAAAAAATTAATATTGGAATTCCGGAGAACGCCGAAGTCTCAGTCTTTTAAGGAGTCTCAATTGTTCGCTGACTTCACGTTCTATCATAAATGTTACGAGATTATTCATGAAAGATTGCTACGAAACAATCGTTCAGACAGCGAAGCGGTATAGAAACGAATCGGGTTATGTTAATTGAGTTATCCAGGTCTTCGTTGGCTTCTCACCGTCGCGATAAGCCCGATATTTGAAATGGCCGCCGCCTACGCCGCCGCTATTAGCACTTAAATTTGTACTTGGATTCGATTCGTTAAACAACAGACTGCGTTCACCTAAGAAAATACTTCTGCGATTCCAGACAGATAAGTTATAGACAGATCGGTAAAAACCTATGAAAGGTTTTCTTCACTGTTGTAAATCATAGTTTAATTCCCTCGTCAGTTTAATAGCTTTGATTTATCACGTAGTATTTGACGACACTTGTTCGTATACGCTTAATTAGTGCCACGTATTACTCGGAAGCAAAATTATGACCAAACTATTTCTGCAACACTCACACTTTCACGGCCAGAACTAAAGAAACCAGATCCTCCGGAATATAAAAATTTCCGTCGTTTTACATTTTACAACAAAAGGGCCATTTTCACCATTTCGCACATTCCTTCTTTCATTTCCGCGCCCGAATTCATCGAATTTCCCACAGATCTAATTATACGCAATACTTACGACAAAAATGTCCCAGAATAGAACGAAATTTCTCCTTCAAAACGCCTTGCTTCGCTTCTCTGCTGTCCACGTTCCATAGTCGCCTATCGGGCATCAAAATTCCAGAAGACGTCACGTCAATTGCCCGTCGTCCACCGAAAATATCCCCGTCACCCGGCGTTTCAAGAATATCCAAAAATACCGGAAAGCGAGTGCTCGTTTAACAAACGATCCACAGAGCCGAGGACACCGTTGGACGTTTGCCCGGCGTGCGAACGCGGTGGACAAGTCGGCGGAGGAGGGGATGGGAGGACAGGACGCTGCAACGAAGAAGTCACGATGCATTTAACGAAGTAAATGAGACGTAGCCGAGGATCGACACCGGTCGAGCACTGTCAACCGGGTTTAGGAGACGTTTCCACCGGTGTGTCGTCGGTTGCCTGGCATCGATCATTCGCGTTATCGACATCTCGATCCCCCGAACCGGTCAGAGGACACGGTAGACGTCCAGTTACGGGGGGAGACATCGCGCCAGAGGATCTAGGAATCTCTCGTTCGTCCCTCCGATCACGCCTGATCGAACGACAGAGTGAACGGTCGCCGAATGCGAGCGGAACGGCGCGGCGGCCGCGCGTGTTCTCGTTTCATCGTCACGACGAAACCCACCGCTCGGTTCCATTGTTTTTAACGTGAGAACAAAATGTGAGAACCCTTGCTGCTCCTTGCTGCATCAACCTTGGCCTATCAATAGGTCGCGCTGCAACCGACGTTTCCACGCATCTTGTAATTCCGACTTGTTGGCCATTTCGATGGTTTTTAATTAGTATAATCGCGCGAGAAGATTATTCGCATGGTTTTTCAGACGTTCGTCGAACTATGGACTTGGCGAAACGAATGATTTAATTGGATGATGTAGGAGGTAAAATTAAGATGTTAAATAGGATAAGAGTAATACCAAAGTTTTAGTGGATTTTTAGAGATTTGAGTGATCTTTCGAAACAAAAGCGCCTTCTCCCAGTCCTTGTACACTGATCATTCGGATATAAATTTTATACTTCAGTCGCCGGTAATTCTAGCATGAATTAAATTTACACGACGAGTAAAACGAGCGAGGACTTCTTTATTGAATCGTAACTTTTGCACTTTGGTCGTCGGGGCTTTCAGCTGCAGTTAAATTACAAGACGGGAAAAATTCCTTTTTTTTTTTTCACAAATGAGGGAACCGATCTTACACTTCGAGCTTCCCACATTTCACGTCAATCTGCTTCATTCTACTCTGCCACTGAGTGGCTGTTCCTTCCCCGCTAAATCAGCGATGTGAATCTCAATAAACGAAGAAACGATGCGCTAAACAACTATACTGTACTATAACTATACTAACTATACTACACTATAACAACTCTACAACTCTATTCTAAATAATTAGCAACGAACAATCAAGCAACGATTCTCGACTTCACGGAAGAATTCTCGTTTCGCTTTCGAATCGATCTTCTAGAAAGGTTTAAGTAGGTTTCTGATTACCTTGCTGGAGGCGGTTAATCGAAAACGAAGGGGGGAGGGGGCAGGGCGAAATTGTTCGATTTCTAGAAATATGGATTCGTTCGAGGAATTTATGGAAGCGTTTAAGGAGAGAAACGAGTTATATCGATGCGAACGATAATGGGAATTAAATAGCCGACATTTACATTCTTCGTCCTGTCACTTTTTTGTCATCGATTAGAGCCGCTTGTTTATCGTTGACCAATATTAAACTCGTTTCCTCGACGTGTCCTCGAAATAATGTGCGGATGACTTTGGTCGACCGTCGTGTCATCGGAATCCATTAAAATAATGAGAGAAAAAAAAAAAAAAAAGAGACGTAAGACAGAGACTGCTTTATTACCTCCTTTATTGCTCTGAATCGAGGATTATTTTTCATCCTTGCTTCGAGTTCTTCGTGCAGTTCGATCAGCACGGGGGAGAATTAATTGCAAATAACAACATCTGCGTGTTTAGATATATAACTGGCAGCTACACTGAAGGATAATGATCGTAAACACGTGAGACAACAAATTGGATACGAGGAGAAATAATAAATTTGCATGCCAGTTGTGAATAATTGCTCGATTTGTACGTCCACGTCTCGCACATCGAATTCTCTTCCTTCTTCATTCTCTGCTCCATTAAATTTTCAAGGACGAATGAAGAAATCGTTGCACTCTCTTTGTAGAATTGTTGATTTATTCGCATTTTTCAACAATTTCTGTCAACAAAGTCTTCGTTCAAGTTTCTATTAAAATTCTATTAAAAATTTTATTATTCATTGATGCTTCTTGTTCTTTTATTGCTTGCTTCTTCGAATCTATATCAATTCTAGCTGATAATAATAATAATATCAAAAGAAAATGGAAATCTGAAATCTCCAATTTTCTCGATTCAATTTCAATTTTGAAACAAGTGAACGAGATAGAATTAAATAATCGCGGAACAATATACAAATATACGTTGTAAAAGTGGAGAATTTTTTGACTCGACGTCAATCGATATCAGTTGCAGTAAAAGCGTCAGCGTGGTGATCATTAACTTCAACCCGAATATTTATGACGTGATAACCCGATATTGACTGTTTGCTTATTTATTAGTGAAAATCGTTGCACGTTCAGGGGAGGTTTATGCGCAGAGTTTATGAAACCGTCTTGCCATCGTGCTATAATGGAATTAATCCCCGAAGAAGTCTCGTACGTAGAATATAAGTGACCGCGTAAGAACTGGCTACTATAAAATTGCCTGCATTTAGAAAGTATATTCGATTGGCATGTTTGATTTGTTGACTAATAAATTGCAGTGCATCCTCATTTATGATATATAAAATTTTTAATAGGGAATTTAAATACCCTTGAGAGGATTTATCGCCATTATATAGGTTTCCGAACT